GGCTCTCATACTGGTGATGCTATCGCTGATACAATTAAAAAGACGCTCCAAGAATACAGTATTGGGAGTGATAAACTCGGCTACTTCGTCCTCGACAATGCTGCAAACAACGATACTGCAGTCTCCTCGCTCGCCCACGCGTACGACTTCAACGCTGCTCACCGACGCCTCCGCTGCGGCCCTCACACGCTTAACCTTATTGGCCAGGCAATTATCTTTGGCAGCAATCAAGAGGCGTACAACAACAACAACGACGAGCAGCTCCAAACAGAGGAGGTGTACATGCAGGAGTGGCGTCAAGAAGGGCCCTTAGGTGTACTTATCGACGTTATCAACCATATAAAAACGCCTCAACAACACGAAATTTTCCGAAGCTTCCAAACCGCCGCCAACGCCGAGTTGCCAGCTAGAGAGCGCCTCCACGTACTTGAGCCTGTGAAGCCTGTTGTTACACGCTGGAACTCTTACTACGCTGCCTTCAAACGCGCAACTCAACTCCAGGCAGCATACAACTCTTACGCTGAGCACTACATTAACGCACTCTCCCTTGAAGATCGCGCGCTGTCAACGTGGCAATAAACTCCCTGAAGCACCTAGTTGGATGAGATCAACAGGACTTACAGCTGCTGATTGGGCGGTGATAACAGAGTATCAGGACTGCCTAGAGCCGCTTAAGCTTGCTACGGAGAAGCTTGAGGGTCGCGGAAAGGCAGGCAAATACGGCGCTATATATGAGACTATTCCTGTATTTGAATACGTACTTGGCGCGCTCGAAGCCCGTACGCGCTCGTACGAGCAAGTTGACTTCAACCCACCCAGACTCCGCAACAATCAATCGATTGACATGATTGATTCCTATATAGGTTAAAGAATTACTTCATTAGGCAGCCTTTAACCTAGATAGGAATCAATCATGCCGATCCGATTGATTGTTGCGGAGTCTGAACCCACCTGATGCGCCTGAAGATCACCTCTTTGTTAACCTCCGCGCCGCCTGGAGTAAGGCCAACGATTACTACAACAAGCTCGATCGATCGCCAGCATACTACGCTGCTACCTGCCTCCATCCATACTACAAATACTACTGCGAGAACAGCTGGGTGGATAAGCCAGAATGGCTAACATCAGCCAACGCTGGCTTCCTGCAGCTCTGGCAGTCGTATAAGCCTCAACGTACACGTCCTCTATCTCAAACAACTGCAAAACCAAGGCATAGAGGAATAGATGATGTGATTGGCGCCCTCGTACGGCGCAACAAGGCTCAGGTAGAGGCTGCCCACGACGATGAGTACGAGCGCTGGAGAACTCAAGAGCCAGAGTGGACAAGCGAACAGTATCTTAGCGATGGCCACCCAGTCAAGTACTGGATTCAATTACGCTCAAAATACCCGTGTTTAAGCCAGTTTGCGATTGATATACTCACGATACCAGCATCTAGTTGCGACTGCGAGAGGCTCTTTAGCGAGCTTGGCGATTTACTTGAGCCGCGCCGGCGAGCTCTTGGCAGCGAGTTACTTGCTGCCCTTCAGCTTGTACGTTCGTGGAGACGAGCTGGCTTTGACGGCTTGTACAACAACGGTGATGATGAAGATAAGTGGAGTGACGTCAAAGATGAGGAGATTGTACAACAGTACGATATAGAAGGCTGGAGTACAACACCATAACCCCCTGTATACTACTTCTTAGCATCAATCAGCCAATCAACCAATCAATCGCAATCAATCTGCTCAAAAACCCTAACAATCAATCCGCAATCAATCAGCAGCGTCGCCGCAAGCTAATCAAACCAATCGACAACCTTAAGATTGATTGATTTGATTGTTGCGGAGTCTGCTGCGCATATAGACCTCTTTCCGATAGCTCTAATACAACATGATTCTCCCCAAACTTGACGCTTGACAAAAAGTATAACATGTTTTATAAGCCAGTCGTCAATACAAGCGAGTCGTCAGCCCCACCAACTTTTACAACCTTAAAGCGACGCATCTCAACAACGCGATAATATTATTGCTAGATATTGATACAGTAGATTACTCTATATCAATGGTATCAGTCTTGCATGTGCGCGAGTTGTGCCCAGTCTCCTTGCACCTAGTGCAGCGCCTTTGAGCCCGCTGGCTGAGGCCTGATCGCGCTCCTCCTTGACGCTCTTCATGAGCAATCTGCTGGTTAGCCTCATTTTGAGCCAGTATATCCTCTCCAGCTCCCTTTGTGAGTACTCTCTGCTTCTGTATACGCCTTTTGGAGCGCCGCCTACGCGCTGAGGCTGCGCTGTTGGCTCTCTCAAGACTAGAGATCCGATCGCGCATCAGCTCAGCAGAGAGCATCATCACCTCAGCGCCCTTCTTCAGCTGGTCAATCGCCTCAATAATTGATGCTGGTAATGAGCTCTTGTGCTGGCGCACGCGCTCACGTATGAGGCTTGACTGAGCCTCAAGCTCACGCGCGTTGCTCGGCGTTTGAGCTACCCAGGGAGCCTCTGGCAGAGCTGCTGGAGGAGTAGGTGTACGCAGCTGTACATCTAGCTTTGATAGAACAGCCTCTGGTTGTAGAGGAACAAGGCCTGAGCCGCGGAAGGCTGAGCAGATGTTGGCTGGTGTGAGTGCTCTATCAAACGCTATCTTGAATGCTGGCAGAAACTCTAGCTTGGTGATGTGGTTAATGTGGTTGCGCATGAGGCTCTCCACCTCACGGCTGTACGTGCGCTTCAATGGCGAGAAGCAGCCAACATCAAGTGGCTGGAGTAGGTGAGATGAGTGAGGAGGCATACAGAGCGTATGGATATTGTTCTCCTTGCAGAGCTCCTGGAACTCTAGAGATTGGTGGCTCTTATGGCCATCAATAATAAGCAGGCGACGCGCGCCTATACTACGAGCCTGCGTGTGAGCGTTGAAGTGCTTTAACCACTCAACTCCAAGCTTATTATTCGTCCAGCCATTGTCGCTGACTGCGATCGCCCAGTCGCGTGGGATCTCAGCTTCCTCATACCAGGCTGATAGGTGGTACTGGCCAGCGAAGATGAGGAACGGTGGGACTGACCAGCCGGCTGCGTTGATTGCAGCGATCAACGTTACCCACTCACGATTGCCTGGCTGGATAGCCTTTGGCCTGCCTCTCCTTTCTGACGCTGTTACAACAAGCTGAGTTGTAATCTTGCCCATTATAAAGCCAGCTTCATCAAAGTTGTAGACGTCCTTATCGCAGATGCCGTACTTCGCCTTTGTCTCCTCTATAAGCTCAAACCAGCTTCGGATAAGGGCTGGATTCTCACAGAGAGCTCTCTGCCTATCGTACGCTCGGTTAAAACACGTCTTAAGACTGTCTGTACGCTGAACAAAGTTGCGCGGCCAGTGGACGCCGACCTGGCCAGCGCCGCGCGCAGCCAGCAGCTTATCAGCCATATCCCGTACAGCTGCGTAGGTAGGCGCAAATCCACGCTGATCTAGGTGAAGTATATAGCTAATAATCACCTCCTCTTCTCTCTTGGTAAGCTTCTTTGAGTTGGGCTGGCAATCGCGTCGGGCAGGTCGACCAGCGCGTCGGTCGCGCATTGTCATATGAGGGACACTATAGATTGAAGCAGCGCTGCTTTCAGACTGAATCTGCCCTGCTTCAATAGAGCTAATAACACGCTGGATATCAGCTTCGTTTGAAGATACTTGAGGAGCGCGGCGTGGAGGCATTGCGTGTTAAGATAGAGTAGGTGATTGAAGTTGGTGGGGCTGACGACTCGCTTATAAAACATGTCGGATCGTGAGTATCGGTAGGGACGTCGGCTGCTCAACACTTCGGCCCGACTTCGGCCCACCTTGCGTTAAGCTTAGGTATACCTTCGTAGCAGCTATGTTCGTAGACAATAAGAACGATCACCGAACAGAATGCATTCCTAGTTATCGTTATTTCCCTTTACGCACTTAGTGCAAAGCCAACCAACAAAACATGTTATATAGTTAACATGGTTGGCAAGCGAGCGGCCCACCCAAAAACACACCAAAAAGCGGAGTTTTGGCAACTCAATATCTTAACAACCACCTAATAGATTTTTCTTAAAGGTTTTACTAGAACTCTAGGATTATAATTCTATAAGATTCTATGATTATAGGGCCCTAGCTACTCTAGATGTAGAGATATAGAATCTGGGGGCTAAAAAAGCGGAAATTTTCGTTTTTGCTTAACAACTCTACAGCTAAGTTAGCTATAGCCCTGTAACTATAGAATCTACATGCTTATGTGTGTGCAGCTTCACATTAAGATTCTAAGAAAAATCTATCTGGTGGTTGTTGAGATATTCTGTTACCAAAACTCCGCTTTTTGGTGTGTTTTTGGGTGTGAAGGTCGTCCGAAGATGATCTTGGGTTGGTTCTCGGGGATAGAGTGATGCGATGGACACGAGGGTGTATAGCACGATTGGTAGATCGATGTAATATACGGGGAGTTGAGAATCAAGTACTAATCCTTAGATTTCAAAGTTGAACACAATGAACCGTAAGGGCTCATTGCCTATTGTTATATACTAACGAATGTCCTATGTCCTATACGTCCTACGTTGTCCTACACTGTCCCATGCGTGGGACATCGTGGTACATCGTGGGATTCCTTGGGACACACGTGACATGTCCCATGGTGGCGTTCCGCCAAGCTTTATGGGATGCGGGGCAGGCTTACGTCATTGGTCCTTGTACACCTTTGTACGCCTTTGTCTGAGAAGGGATTCCGACAAGGTCTCCATCCTTCTGCCCTTCATATCTTGCACTGTGTCCTCTCCTTAGGTTCGTAACATTGGGTGGGCCGCTCGCTTAACACAACCATGTGAGCAGATTTTCACGACGCGGTGTTTGTAGCAGCAGTACAAAAAAGCAGTTAAGGTGTTATCCCAACACCTTATATCTATTAAGTGACAAGTGTGTCTAATCGATCCCTTAAACAATCTTATAACGGTTTGCTGCATACCAACGTATAGATGTCAAAATAAAGGAAACGTGTGCTACTAGAGCAAGCATTCAAGAAGCCATATTGCTCAAAAACCTATGGCCTTTAACATGCAGGTTTATAAGAGGCTCTAGGTCGAAAGGCGGCATAGTATCAAAGCGCAAAAATCTGTCATAGAGCTCCCCATGAACACTATTAATACCGATGCACCAATCCCTACAGTTTCTAGCACGATCCTGCTCCTCTGCACGTTCTCTTACCTCTTTTCGGCAAATTTGCCTAAGATATTCGCGCAGCAGGCCCCATGAGTCCTTAGGCTCGTCTTTTGTCTCTGCTTCGGTTGCAAGCAAACCATGCTCCGTAGTGACGCCATCAGCATCCATCGAGGTGTGGAGTCCAGACGGTCCATTGCCCAGCTTGGAACCCTTGATAAACCAAAAAGTTCGCACGCGCTTATTCAAAGTCTTGACCTTATAGATGCCTACCTTCATAGCTGGGGATTCCGGGGTTTGGGTTTTCCAGAAACGGTGCTCGAGGTTGATGCAGGTGCTTGTGGAGTCCGATTATAGGACAAGGCAGTGGTGTGGTCCTTTTACTGTGCATATGGGCCCTTGGAGATGAGGAGCAGCTTTCAAAGATTGCTCCAAACCGAGCACCTTGTCTGCTGCTTTCACGTATTTGTTATACTCGGCCTGTTCTCGGACCATCTGCAACTCGACCCTCTGAAGGAGCTCGGTGGTAGCCTCAGTAATCCCGCCACTAGCAATTGATTGAGCATCTGAAACGGGTTTCAAGTGGGATGAATCCAGCTGGGCAGCGCCGGCAGGATTTGAAGCTTGGCGAGGTTCGCTCTTGGTATCGGATAGGGCCTCGCATACTGCAGCGATGTCCCGCGTTTGTATCGGTGATATTCCCATGGCGTGGTGTGCGCAAAAGTTGAATTGTCGAAGAAAATTCAAGAGTAGACTGGGGGAAAAGCCGCAATACATTTCTGAATTTATATGAAGATAGTGATATTACTATGACGTAAAAAAACTGTAGCACAATGCTAACAGCCTCGTGGGTGAACTAAGTCCTCCCAACCAGGGATACCTGTGAAACCACAAATCGAACCATGGTTCTACAGTTCGCTTATCTTGATGCATATTTTCGCCAATATCACCAGGTAGCAATTCATGCGACAAGCGAGAAAACATGGCTCTTTTCTTGTGGAAATCCCTCACTTGTTTCTCGGGTAGACTTCTTTTGCAGCGCATAAATCGGCCACTGATGTTGGCTCTGACGCCATCCGATGCTGAGAAGTGGTAGTAACATTGGCCTGTGCGATGGAGCGATAGTTTACAAACCTTGTTACGTTTCGTTTGCACGGTCATTCTACGTGTTCTATTCTTCTGACGCGACGAGACTTTAGCTAGAGCTTGTTTTCGTGTCAAAATAACCTCTTGTACGCCGAGTTCAGCGCGTCGGCTAGCGATAACATTCATTGCGGGGGATAGATATGGAAAAAATGTTGTAACTAGAAGTTGAAAATCACCCACTGCCTGGAGGCCATGAATTTACACTCCTTTGTGTGGAGTGCTGCCCGCTGCGTACACTTCTTTGATGGCATTGTCGCGTTGTCACGTTTGGGGGATTTGAACAAAGGGGACTACGGTAACCTCCCTCCCTGGGGTTAGAACATCCCACCGCGCAGAACCATGAAAATTTTCAAGCAATACCACGCTTCAAACAACTGCCCTGCAAAACTCAAATAAGCACAGTGGTATACCTTAATAAGGATACAATCTGTTGCCAGGATTAGACAGTAAAATTACAGCGGTCTTGCGCATACTTACACACATATCCTCAACACTGCCGGAAGCTTCGACAACGATGCACCCCTGTTCTCTTGTCGGACCCTAGGTTAATCGCCACTTCGGAGGCTCTAGGGTGTAACTTACTGTGTCAAAATGTGGCTTGCAAAGTGCGAAGACCTGCAGCGACCGACAACATCTACTCCAGATTTATCCACGGAGATGTGCAGGCCTCCCTGTTTACGCAAGAATTCTCCGCACGCTAAGAAAGCGCGTACTATACACTAAGCGGCCTGCATTGTATACCTGCGCTGTTACAGAACAGGTTAAGCTGTGGCGCATGCTTCTCCACGCTTCTCTCCACGCGCGCTGCGCCTTCTGGCTATTCTTAGAAGTCAAGGGTGAGCAAGGCGAGAGTGAGGCTTTTGTTAACCTCCGCCGCATCTAGCGACATGGACCCAGACAGCCGAGCACTGGCGCGCTGTCCGATTAGAAGGATAAGTTATGCTGTAGTTATAATATTGAAAGCTGTTACTTTTCATATGTAAACGCAGCACCTCAGCCGTATCTTTGCGTTTGTAGCGTACCGCTATCTTCAGCGGCGTCTGTCCGTCCCTGTCTTTCGCCTCAACGTCAGCCTTGCCAACGCTAAGCAGCACCTCAACGGTGTCTCTATGCCCGTTTTGTGCCGCCCACATCAGCGGCGTCTGTCCGTCGCTGTCTTTCGCCTCAACGTCAGCCTTGCCAACGCTAAGCAGCACCTCAACGGTGTCTCTATGCCCGTTTTGTGCCGCCCACATCAGCGGCGTCTGTCCGTCGCTGTCTTTCGCCTCAACGTCAGCCTTGCCAACGCTAAGCAGCACCTCTACGGTGTCTATATGTCCGCCATATGCTGCCTGCATCAGCGGCGTCTGTCCGTCGCTGTCTTTCGCCTCAACGTCAGCCTTGCCAACGCTAAGAAGCACCTCTACGGTGTCTATATGTCCGCCACGTGCCGCCTGCATCAGCGGCGTCCATCCCCAGCTGTCATTCGCCTCAACGTCAGCCTTGCCAACGCTAAGCAGCACCTCAACGGTGTCTCTATGCCCGCCTTCCGCCGCCTGCATCAGCGGCGTCCATCCCCAGCTGTCATTCGCCTCAACGTCAGCCTTGCCAACGCTAAGCAGCACCTCAACAGTGTCTCTATGCCCGTTTTGTGCCGCCCACATCAGCGGCGTCTGTCCGTCGCTGTCTTTTGCCTCAACGTCAGCCTTGCCAACGCTAAGAAGCACCTCAACAGTGTCTCTATGCCCGCCTTCTGCCGCCCGCATCAGCGGCGTCGATCTACTACTATCTTTCGCCTCAACGTCAGCCTTGCCAACGCTAAGCAGCACCTCAACGGTGTCTCTATGCCCGCCTTCCGCCGCCTGCATCAGCGGCGTCTGTCCGTCCCTGTCTTTCGCCTCAACGTCAGCCTTGCCAACGCTAAGCAGCACCTCAACAGTGTCTCTATGCCCGTTTTGTGCCGCCCACATCAGCGGCGTCGATCTACTACTATCTTTCGCCTCAACGTCAGCCTTGCCAACGCTAAGCAGCACCTCAACGGCGTCTCTGTGCCCGCCTTCTGCCGCTCGCATCAACGGCGTCCACCCGTCGCTATCTTTCGCCTCAACGTCAGCCTTGCCAACGCTAAGCAGCACCTCAACGGTGTCTCTGTGTCCGCCTTCTGCCGCTCGCATCAGCGGCGTCCATCCGTCGCTGTCTTTTGCCTCAACGTCAGCCTTGCCAACGCTAAGGAGCGTCTCCACGGTATCACTGTGTCCTCTTAATGCCGCCCGCATCAGCGGCGTCCACCCGTCGCTGTCTTTCGCCTCAACGTCAGCCTTGCCAACGCTAAGCAGCACCTCAACAGTGTCTCTATGCCCGCCTTCTGCCGCCCGCATCAGCGGCGTCCATCCTCTACTGTCCCTTGCATTCAAGTCGATCTTTCCAGCCTGGGATAAGAGCACAAGAACATTCCCGTTCCTATTCTCGACAGCCCATTGGAAACGCGTCCAGTAGTCTTTGTCCACCTTGTTAAGCTCAGACGCACGACTGTAGATCAGCTTTGAACAAAGCTTGAAAATGGCGTCTTTATGTCCAGATACATAAAATACATGGTCCTGCCAATAGGTCTTTGCATAAGTGTAGAATCTGAATGCGTGCTCTGGCTTAGAGCTAAGAGAGCTTCGCGCGTCCGCAAGAGCTTTGCTCACATCAAACGCTTGTTGCCCTCTTGATCCAAGCAACTTTATAGCAAGATAACGAGCAGTGCTTGACGAACCAATAGTCGCTTGCACGATCTTGGATGGTGCAGATTGTGCCACCATCGGATGGACCTTGACTCTCGATAGCTCAGTCCCGAAGACGCCATAGCCTAGGTACGTGACAACAGTGTCTGCCAACATCCTTTGTGCCTCGTCAAACGAAAAGCCTATATGCTTTACGCCATTAAGCCCATCGAGGACGTACTGCTTGACGCTGTGATGTACAACTCGGACGGTGAGCTCTTCCTCATCAACAGCAAGAAGGCATCCGCAGCACGCTAGTGCTGAATAAGCATCATTTAGGATTCTAGAAGGATCCCAAGTTGCATCTCCAGGAGTAACGCTCAGCGCTTCCCGCAACTCGTCCGTCGTTAAAGGGCGATAAGCCGCAAGCACAGACTGCAGCGTCTTTGCTTGGAGTGCTGGATCCGAGCTTCCCGACTTCCGTAGGATCCTAGCGAACGTCTCCGAGAGATCTTTAGGCAGGTCTGCTAGTGCTTCTCGGATAGCATGATCAGTCTTCATACTACACAAAGACCGGATTTGAAGAGCTACCCAGAGAAACATTCCCTGCGAGCCTTTCGACAAAGCATCTTGAATGTCCAAGATTAGAGCTGGATCTCCGATTGTTAGACATTCTTGGCGAAGACAACGCTCAAGGTCTGCTTCGATAAAAGCGTCAATGTCTGGGTTGTCGTCTGGTATAAAGACAGCGCGAGTGGCCAAGAGTTGATTAGTAATCGACTGCAGGCCATTGTTTGGCTCTTCTCGGAAAGAAGCACAGACCAGGACCTTTAGCTTCACCTGGATCTTCCGGATTGCCTGCACCAACGTCTCTTTCTCCTCATTGTCGCATTCGTCTAGGCCGTCAAGCACGAAGTATACTTTGACATCGGAGGGAAAGCCCCGAAAGAGCGTTTCGAGCGCTGTATTGGTGTCGCCTATAGTGTGAGTATTTTCGCAATTCTTAGCAGGTACGCTAAGATCTGGAACAGTACGTAGAAGTTGTCGTGCTAGTGAGCCGATGATCGTCCGTGCCTGTAGACTTTCTGGAATGTCATGTTTGCAAAAGAAGTATGCTACCAAGGGTAGGGCTTTCTCGGTTGAGAGGCTGAGGTCATCCACAATGTTGGCTAGCAACACTGACTTTCCCGAGCCCAACTTGCCTCTATACAATAGTGTGCTAGGGTGCGAGCTATCTCTCCACTCTTTGTACTCTGCTTGTTGCCTGTAAAAGGATGTGTTACCAGCCTTTCTAATTTGCTTCCACGCTATCTCATGATCGTACGTGGAGCAAAAGTCGAGCACTCGCATGTTGGCTGCAAGTCTCTGCTGATATGAGGCAGACTTGAACGTTTCCCTGGTCAAAGCCCTGAAACCAGAGCTCTCTTGAGCTTCATTCACGTCTATCTGCCCCTTGATGGAAGTTGCCCACTTGTCAAGGTCCGCCTGGAAGGTCTTCAAGTGCGCATCGCTCAGCGAGGACGCAAACTGCTGGACAGTCGATTTCTGACCGAAATTGAACAGGTAACGACACAAGCTAACTACCACGATAAAGTACTCAGAGAGGTGTGATTGTAGCTTCGTAGATCGAGGGTATAGTAGGGCAATCGCTTGGTAGCGCGGAGCAGAGCGGCCGACGTCCATGAACAGCGAGGACAGCTTATCGATGTAGTTCGAAAGGTTCACGATCGACTGCAGTGTATCAGTGACTAACTACGACAATAATGCAAGACGAGGGGCACTAACTAATAACGACATGCGCACCAACGACCACACGCCACACGCTAGCAAGTTCTGCGATCCTCCGATCACAACATCTCCAAGAGCAGCGAACTG